TTACTGTAATTGTTCTTTATTCTCAGCTAGACTCTTGCCAGGACTAGCTCGTTGGTCTAGGGGTATGATTCTCGCTTCGGGTGCGAAAGTTCCCGGGTTCAAATCCTGGACGAGCCCATTGTGAGGTTTGGACATTAAGCTATGGTTTCTCTTTAGGGTCCCGAACGATCAGGAAGTTTTTGGTCAATCGGGCAGAAGCTCAAGCACAACTAAGCCGTTTAGCTCAGTTGGTTAGAGAGTGGTGCTAATAACACCAAGGTTGTGGGTTCGAACCCCGTATGGGCAAGCTTCTTTTGTTCACTGGGAGCTCAGCTGTGCTCTTCAGGCAAATTGACAGGTGGTCTCACGGAAATACCGCTGTCTAAACAGTGTGAGGTTGTGGCCAAAAGAGCTCATTTGGTAGAGCTTTAGACTGAAAATCTAAAGGTCTCTGGTTAGATCCCGAGTTTCGGCAGATGACACTCATCTCTTCCTATTGTTCGAGGGGGCCAGTAACCAAAATTCACTGTAAGTAATTTTGTCTTTGCGGCCATGTGAGAAAGGTCTGCTCCTGTCAAGGTTCTGTGGTGTAATGGTTAGCACTCTGAATCCAGCGATCCTCATTCAATTCTTGGTGGGACCTGTTTTGCCACCAATTTGCACCGGACCCCGTCCGAAATACATTTTGACAGCAATGAGCCCCAAAAGCTCACGTAGTTAACGTCACTTCAATTCCCAGTCTGTTTCTTTAGACAAGTGAACGTAACAGGGTAGGACTCAACTTGGAGAATGAGGGCGTCAATCCCACTTCCTCTTGCATGCTAAGCGAGCGCTCTACCATTTCAGCTAATTCCCCTGGCCGTGGTGGGGTGAAGTCCATCTCTCCAAACGATGCCTTTGCAGAGCGACCACTATTATAACGGGCTTTAAGAAAAGAGGCCATCTCACCACTATGCTTGCACCTTTGCACTGGCCGTAATGAAGTTGAAGAATAAAGAGACCAGAGATTGTGCCTCTGTTTTAAAATACTAAAATGGAGTCAGATTGAGTTAAACCTAAATTGAATAACTCTGAACGCTGAAAAGACCGAACACGCAAGAGACCTTCATCCGCCACTGGATACCTTCCTTGGACCAGGTGCGCGGACCTTACACATTCGTTTGCCTTTGACACTGTCTCGAGGGGTTTGATTACTTCCATGTTAGTTCATGTTCCTTCTTTTGTTGTTACTGTAATTGTTCTTTAGTCTCTGCTAGACAGATGCCAGGAAAGGCTAGTTGGTGTAGGGGTATGATTCTCGCTTTGGGTGTGAGAGGTCCTGGGTTCAAATCCAGGACAAGCCCATAGTGAGATTTGGACTTTAAAGTGCTGTTTTCTCTTTAGGGTCCCGACCGATCAGGAAGTTTTTGGTCAATCGGGCAGAAGCCCAAGCAAAACCAGGCCGGTTAGAGCGTGGTGCTAATAACGCCAAGGTCGCGGGTTCAGTCCCCGTACGGGCCAGCTTCTTTTGATCACTGGGAGCTCAGCTCTGCCCTTCAGGCAAATTGACAGTTGGTCTCACGCAAATACCGCTGACTGAACAGTGTCAGGTTCTGGCCAAAAGAGCTCATTTGGTAGAGCTTTAGACTAAAAATCAAAAGGTCTCTGGTTAGATCCCGGGTTATGGCAGATGACACTCGTCTTTTCCTATTGTTCGAGGAGACCAGTAATCAAAATTCACTGTAAGTGATTTAATATTTGCGGCCATGTGAGCAAAGTCTGCTCCTGGCAAGGTTCTGTGGTGTCATGGTTAGCCCTCTGAATCCAGCGATCCTCATTCAAATCTTGGTGGGACCTGTTTTTCCACCAATTTGCACCGGACCCTGTCCGAAATACATTTTGGCAGCAGTGAGCCCCAAAATCTCACGAAGTTAACGTCGCTTCAACTCACAGTCTGTTTCTTTAGACAAGTGAACGTAACAGGGTAGGACTCAACTTGGAGAATGAGGGCGTAAATCACACTTCCTCTTGCATGCTAAGCGAGCACGACGATCAGGAAGTTTTTGGAAAATCGGGCAGAAGCCCAAGCAAAACAAGGCCGGTTAGCTCAGGTGGTTAGAGCGTGGTGCTAATAACGCCACGGTCGTGGGTTCGATCCCTGTACAGGCCATCTTCTTTTGTTCTCTGGGAGCTCAGCTCTGCTCTTCAGGCAAATTGACAGACGATCTCACGGAAATACCGCTGTCTGAACCGTGTGAGGTTGTGGCCAAAAGAGCTCATTTGGTAGAGCTTTAGACTGAAAATCTAAAGGTCTCTGGTTAGATCCTGGGTTTCGGCAGATGACACTCGTCTTTTCCTACCTTTGGTTCACTCAGGTCGTGCAGCCAACTTCTCCCCTCCCACAGTGCCCACACTGGTTTAAAGTCTAAGGGACGTCTGACTGTTTCAGCTGTCCTCCCAAGATCCCTCTACATATTAGGTTCAGCCCCATTTTTAAATCCAGTGTGAGGTTGTGGCCAAAAGAGCTCATTTGGTAGAGCTTTAGAGTGAAAATCAAAAGGTCTCTGGATAGATCCCAGGTTTCGGCAGGTGTTACTGTAATTGTTCTTTAGTCTCTGCTAGACAGTTGCCAGGAAAGGCTCGTTGGTCTAGGGGTATGATTCTCGCTTAGGGTGCGAGAGGTCCCAGATTCAAATCCCGGGTGAGCCCATAGTGAGGTTTGGACCTTATGTGCTGTTTTCTCTTTAGGGTCCCGAAAGATTGTGAGCAAAGTCTGCTCCTGGCAAGGTTCTGTGGTGTCATGGTTAGCCCTCTGAATCGAGCGATCCTCATTCAATTCTTGGTGGGACCTGTTTTGCCACCGATTTGCACCGGACCCAGTTCGAAATACATTTTGACAGCAATGAGCCCCAAAAGCTCAAGTAGTTAATGTCGCTTCAATTCACAGTCTGTTTCTTTAGACAAGTGAACGTACCATTTCAGCTTATTCCCCTGGCCGTGGTGGGGTGAAGTCCATCGCTCCAAACGACGCCTTTGCAGAGCGACCGCTATTATAACGGGCTTTAAGAAAAGAGGCCATCTCACCTCTGTGCTTGCACCTTTGCACTGGCCGTAATGAAGTTGAAGAATAAACCTAGAGATTGTGCCTCTGTTTTAAAGGCCCTTCTTGGTCTTTTTACCCCAGTACATAAGTTTGTGGATTCCTGTATTACGTATGATACCTTTGGATCACTCAGGTTGTGAAGCCATCTTCTCCCCTCCAACACTGCCCACACTGGTTTAAAGTCTAAGGGACATCTGACTGTTTCAGCTGTCCACCCAAGATCCCTCTACATATTAAGTTCAGCCCCATTTTTAAATCCATTCGTTTGCCTTTGAGACTGTCTCGAGGTGTTTGATTACTTCCATGTTAGTTCATGTTCCTTCTTTTGTTGTTACTGTAATTGTTCTTTATTCTCTGCTAGACCATTGTCAGGATAGGCTCATTAGTCTAGGGGTATGATTCTTGCTTAGGATGAGAGAGGTTCCGGGTTCAAATTCCGGGCGAGCCCATAGTGAGGTTTGGACCTTAAGTGCTGTTTCCTCTTTAGGATCCCGAACGATCAGGAAGTTTTTGGTAAATCGGGCAGAAATTCAAGCAAAACCAGGCCGGTTAGCTCAGTTGGTTAGAACGTGGTGTTAATAACGCTAAGGTCGTGGGTTCGATCCCTGTGCAGGCCATCTTCTTTTGTTCTCTGGGAGCTCAGCTCTGCTCTTCAGGCAAATTGACAGGTGGTCTCACAGAAATACCGCTGTCTCAACAGTGTGAGGTTGTGGCCAAAAGAGCTCATTTGGTAGAGCTTTAGAGTGAAAATCTAAAGGTCTCTGGTTAGATCCTGGGTTTCGGCAGATGACACTTTTTCTGTTGTTCGAGGGGGCCAATAACCAAAATTCACTATAAGTGATTTAGTCTTTGCGGCCATGTGAGAAAAGTCTGCTCCTGTCAAGGTTCTGTGGTGTAATGGTTAGCACTCTGAATCCAGCGATCCTCATTCAATTCTTGGTGGGACCTGTTTTGCCACCAATTTGCACTGGACCCCGTCCTAAATTCATTTTGACAGCAATGAGCCCCAAAAGCTCACGTAGTTAACGTCGCTTCAATTTACAGTCTGTTTCTTTAGACAAGTGAGCGTAACAGGGTAGGACTCAACTTGGAGAATGAGGGCATCAATCCCACTTCCTCTTGCATGCTAAGCGAGCGATCAACCATTTCAGCTAATTCCCCTGGCCGTGGTGGGGTGAAGTCCATCGCTCCAATCGACGCCTTTGCAGAGCGACCGCTATTATAACGGGCTTTAAGAAAAGAGGCCATCTCACCTCTGTGCTTGCACCTTTGCACCTTTGCACTGGCCGTAATGAAGTTGAAGAATAAACCTAGAGATTGTGCCTCTGTTTTAAAGGCCCTTCTTGGTCTTGTTACCCCAGTACATAAGTTTGTGGATTCCTGTATTACGTAGGATACCTTTGGATCACTCAGGTTGTGAAGCCATCTTCTCCCCTCCCACACTGCCCACACTGGTTTAAAGTCTAAGGGACATCTGACTGTTTCAGCTGTCCTCCCAAGATCCCTCTACATATTAGGTTCAGCCCCATTTTTAAATCCATTCAGAGGCCAACTTTCATTCGTTTGCCTTTGACACTGTCTCGAGGTGTTTGATTACTTCCATGTTAGTTCATGTTCCTTCTTTTGTTGTTACTGTAATTGTTCTTTATTCTCTGCTAGACTCTTGTCAGGACAGGCTCGTTGGTCTAGGGGTATGATTCTTGGTGTGAGAGGTCCCGGGTTCAAATCCCGGACGAGTCCATAGTGAGGTTTGAACCTTAAGCGCTGCTTTCTCTTTAGGGTCCCGAACGATCAGAAAGTTTTTGGTCAATCGGGCAGAAACCCAAGCACAACCAGGCCAGTTAGCTCAGTTGGTTAGAGCGTGGTGCTAATAACGCCAAGGTCATGGCTTCGATCCCCGTACAAGCCAGCTTCTTTGGTCATCCCTGAGAGCTCAGCTCTGCTCTTCAGGCAAATTGACAGGTTGTCTGACGGAAATACCCGCTGTCTAAACACTGTGTGGTTGTGGCCAAAAGAGCTCATTTGGTAGAGCTTCAGACTGAAAATCTAAAGGTCTCTGGTTAGATCCTGGGTTTTGGCAGATGACACTCATCTTTTCCTATTGTTCGAGGGGGCAAGTAACCAAAATTCATTGTAAGTGATTTAGTCTTTGCGGCCATGTGAGCAAAGTCTGCTCCTTTCAAGGTTCTGTGGTGTAATGGTTGGCCCTCTGAAACCAGCGATCCTCTTTCAAATCTTTGTGGGACCTGTTTTGCCTGTTTTGATTGGTTAGCCGGGCCAGTGTGTGTGCTGTGATTGGTTAGCCGGCCCAGTGTGTGCTGTGATTGGTTAGCCGGGCCATTGTGTGCTGTGATAGGTTGTGTGAGGTGATTGGTTAGCCGGGCCAGTGTGTGCTCTGATTGGTTTGCGGGGCCAGTGTGTGTTGTGATTGGTTAGCCGGGCCACTGTGTGCTGTGATTGGTTAGCCGGGCCAGTGTGTGCTCTGATTGGTTTGCAGGGCCAGTGTGTGTTGTGATTGGTTAGCCGGCCCAGTGTGTGCTGTGATTGGTTAGCCGGGCCAGTGTGTGTTGTGATAGGTTGTGTGAGGTGATTGGTTAGCCGGGCCAGTGTGTGCTGTGGTTAGCTTGGCCAGTGTGTGCTGTGATTGGTTAGCTGGGCCAGTGTGTGTTGTGATTGGCACCACTCGGCACCTGGTCGGGAAATGACATGCCCCTTACCATAGCGAGCTTCAGTGTAAATATTACGTCAAAATCAAATAAATTTGAGTGCGATTTAAACCCGGATGATTGTAAGCACTCTAAGTTCGTCTGCCTTGGGAAAGCTAGTGTGTCTCTGACATAGTGATAACACTCGTTGCCTTCTCTTGTGCAGCTCAACCAGGTCTCGTCCCATTCGTCGATATTTGTGATATCCGAAATCCTGGAAAATATGCGTTGTAGTCCAAACAAGTCGTTCGTTGTAGTTTTTGAAAAGTGATTTCTGTTAAATAAAATATAATATGCTGACTTTGAGCTTTGTAACTTTGCAGATCTTTTTTATGCTCAAACAGCAACATTACAGACTAACTAAAGTTGAAAAAGTGAAGAAGCATAATAGGACCCCTTTAAAAAAATTTCAGTGTTTAGTAAATATTTTTGAATTGTTGTTTTGTAACTGATTTTTTCTTTGAAAAGCATGAGAAAACAGTAAAAAGCTAAATTTTGGTGTTTAATGTATGCAATGGTGAAAAAACGTGTTCGGTATTCGGCCTTCGGCCCAGTGTTTCATTTTGTTCGGCTTTGGCCAAGAATTTGCATCCCTAATTTTCACTGAACTTGCACTAGAATGTAATGTTTTTGGTGTGTGAATGTTTTTGTTAGGTCTGAATGAGCAGAGGGTGTCAGACTTCCAGGTTTCTCCGGATGGAAAGTATATTCTCCTCTCGGGATCCTCAGGATATCTCCATCTCATGACCACAAAGGTGCAGCACAGCGATCCCATTACATCTGCTTGTGATGTCTGTACTCACTCAGAAAATACATAGTCCAGCTGCAGCCATACATGTGGTGATTTCACTCTTAAGTGTTATTTATCTGGTGTTAAAGGGTTAGTACAATCACCCTCGAGACGTTTAATTGTCTTCGAAACACAAATTAAAATATGTTTAAAATGCTCTCGTCGATTTAGTCCATCATAAAGATGAAGTGAAAGTAATCCATGTGAATTTAACGGTTTCATCAAAGTCATGAAGAAATGCAATTGCTTTTTATGATGAACAGATTTAATGTAGTCCTGTATTCGCATAGAGCTAATCAAAAATGATAAACAGACACTAGATGATACTTGTGTGACATTTGAGATCAAACCTCTTCTGTTCTCCTGCATCACGGAAGAGTTTAGAGGGCCTGATTTAGATTGTCTCTCTGATGATTAATGTTTGTTGGTAGTCTAATGTATGTTAGTAGTGTTAAGAGTGCTATAGTGTTTGTTCCGGGAATGATGCAAGCCAAGTGGCCGTATTGCGTCCGAGTCCGTTTTTCAGTTTTAAGCCTGTTTCAGAGTCTTAGCTCTGTTTGTGTTTCTGTTTTCACTTTTGTTTTTCCCCCCGCAGTCTAATAAACCTGCATTTGGACCCAAACCTTTGTTTACACGGTGTGTCTTTCCTGATCGCGCCGTGACAGGTAGTACCTGTTTAAGGTAGATCCCTGTTTAGATCAGTTCAAAGTTTATAGAACATTTTTTAAATACAATTAAAAATGATGCCGTTGTTTTCTGAGATGCACATACATTTAGTAGAATATTTACATCAAAAACAGTCATAATTTAAAAAAAATTGCCTTTTTCAATCAGTTTTTGACCCTGTCAGTTTTTTATATTAGATTGGGCTGCTATTACATTTATTGCATGTAGGAACTGGAATTCCTCATTTCAATACAGTACCATTGCGTTGCAAAACCATGTTTGCATTTGTGATCGGAGAAATGACATACAACAAGTGCTACTCTACACTGCCCAAAAAACTCGCGTTTGAATCGTCAGTGGCAAATTCTTTAAATATGAAAACGTACTTAAAGTCTTTGAGTCAGAACAGCCGGCATTGTAGTCTACTCTCCCAGGATCAGGAAACAGTCCTCCATAAAATGTGCTGCACACATCTGAATATTTGGGTTGAACTGTTCTGGAACAGTGTTGTAAATTCAACTTAACCACTGATTTCTAGTCGTGTCCTCTTTTGGAAGACCAAACAAAGTAGTTTCGCTTTCACAACGAAACACACAGTGCCTTCACGACATGGCGGCGGTGGCAACAACAATAATACTACAGCGAGAATAAAAGTTACGCCGCCTTTCTTTGCGTGAACATTTGGGCAGCGTTATGCAAATCTTCCCACATTGTGACGTAGACATGTGGGGGCGTGTTAGAACGAGCCGTTTTAGGTAGGTGTGGTTGACTCTTAACTTTTATAAAGAATATCTCTTTGGGTTTGAGACTTTAGTCTTTGCAACTTTAGGGATCTTATCTATGCACAATCAGCTTATAACACTCCAAAGAGAAAGGAAAACTTGAAATCGCATCATATGACCCCTTTAAAGACCAGTCACTAGCGTCTATGAGCACAACCCTAGTGAGTGTGTGGCCCTGCTCTTTCATGTGTGTAGGATCTGTAATCAACTAACTCGGACAGTAGCAGCGCTTGTATTGGTGCACTGCTGTGAGAATGAAGTGTGGCGTGTCTCTTCCAGACCAGAGAGGTGATCCGGAGCATGAAGATGAATGGCAGTATGTGCGCTGCCGCGTTCACCACAGACAGCAGCCAGATCTTTGCCAACTCCCGTAAGTCAAATCAAACACTCTTCTCACGCTGTCATGCCACGTTAAAAGACTAGTTCATCCAAATGTATAGCTGTTGTTCCAAACCTTTGTGACATTGATAATAAGATTACTGTATTATTGCAGTGTTTGTCTGGTTCAGCTCATCATCATTGTGATCATAGTCTGGTCAGTCTGAAGGGCTGTACTCCATAACAGCTTTCATTTGCCAAGGGCAACCGATCACAGTTTTGTTGAGCGTCACATTGAGGGACAGGAAAATGTAAAGTTGATGTCCCTACAATAAAAGTCTGGCGTGCATCTTTTAAATGATTAGTTCAAAAATGTTGCAGGTTTACTGTAACAGTGGCGCTGTGAGCTTTGAGCCTGATAAGCAGAGGCGGACAGTAACTAAGTACATTTACTTGAGTATTGTACTTAAGTACACTTTCTGAGTATCGGTACTTTACTTGAGTATTATTTTTTTCTGGGAACTTATAACTTTAACTTCACTACATTTGAAAGACAAATATTGTACTTTTCACTCCACTACATTTCTATCAAGGTCCTCGAAGTAGAAAGTCGTTATTATATAGCAGCTTTGAAAGTCAGTGGGTTATTTTTTTCTTCTCTAAAACTTGACTTTCTTTTTTTCAGACAGTTTATCAGTAATCACTCTTGTAGGGCTACATTAAATGATTTCCCAGCATTTTTTTGAACACTGACCAGCTGCAAATGTGATATTTATTTACAACAATTCAATAATAAGAAGTTGATATTGAAAAATCTGTCTTTACAACTTTTACTTGTAATGGAGTAATATTTGACCAGCAGTATCTGTACTTTCACTCAAGTAATGGAGTTGAGTACTTTGTCCGCCTCTGCTGATAAGCGATCATTGCACTCTCATTGAGAGTGTGTGTATAATCACACACAGCCTGTGTAAAACAGTAGGTGTTATTATGGTCATCATAATCGATCAGTTATTACATGTGGAGTCGATGCATTTTACAGCCCCAGCTGAGATCTTGTAGAAGGAGCATCAGTCTGTCAGAGACTCGCTCGCTCCTCTCCAGTCCATGCACTGTGTGATCATGTTATTCACTACAAACTGAGATGCACCAAGAGTGATAGAGAAATACATTCACTTTAGAACTGTGTTCTTCATCTGCTGTGGCAAGGGTGGAAAAACTACTGGGTCACATTTTAGTTTTTCTATTCTACTTGTTTAAATGGATCTTTCTATGTTATTTCGTGTCTCTGTAAAGACTAGAGCAGGGCCCTACTGCTTGTAAGATGATCCTGCTTCTTGTGAAATGTGCTTCACATACATGTTGCCTTGACTCCTTAGACAGGAATTTGAGAGTCTGATTTTTTATTTTTAAATGGATACTGAACAGAAACTAGTAATAAAATAGTTGAGTGCTTTACTATTTAATAAAAAAAAGTACTGAATTATACTTTGTAAATGAATAAATATAATATTAATTATATAATAATCATTAAAGAGTTCATAACACCATTAATGCTAACAAAAGGAACTTCAAAATGTAAAAATATATCAGTAAATGTTGAAGGTAATGCTTCAAGGAACAATGTTCCTTGAAGTAAATGTTCAAGGAACAATACTTTTATTGTTACTGTTATTTTTATTGATCTTAGTTGATGTTACAAATGGACTCTTATTATCTACACAAAGGCCATAGTACTCTCACAGTTTAACTACTTCTATTCTAAAACTTTTGTGATTATCTAATCAAAATAACAAAATATGTTAGTCACACACTGGGCAAAAGCGCAGTGTCGTGCGGACAAGTCACAAAAGTTCAGCTGAAAAATGCACAATACAAAATCTTCCAGCCCAAGATGAAGTCTTTATGTACATAACAATGATTTGGGACAGATATGATGTAATGTAAAACTCTGCGGTGTGGCAGTATTTGTGTCGGCTGAATGAACATCAGTTTGCTTTCTCATGTCACTAGGTTTGAATCTGCAGCTTCATTGGCTAACAAATGCATTAATGTGACCAGATGGATATAAACTAATGCAAATAGATGGCAACAATGGTGACATTAAACATTTAGGACGGACTTGCGTGTTTTGGTCACATTGTTTTAACCGCTTGAGGTGATGCTAATGTGCACATCCTCTCAGTCTTGATAGCAAACTTACTGCTGTCCTTTCTCCAGAACTGCAGCGTCTAGTCAACAAAAGAATTACCAAGTAATGATATGAAAACATGCACTATAGTATACTATAGTTCGTTGTCGATGTATTAAATGCACATCTGAAGTGTCCCGCTCTGTTCAGTGCACAGAATCACGTGACTAATCTGCACACAATGTCAGTGATCTCCGTCTCTAGAGGCTGCTCTTGTGCTGTATAACAAAGACTGTAGGGAGTTTGCTGTATAATGAGAACCTTCTCAGCTTCTCCAGCAACGGTCCCAACCCAGAAAAACTACCGGCATGGATTTTTGCTGATAATAAATAGTTCCGCCAATCAACTTTCGGTGCCGATTAATTGGAAAAACCAATACGTCAGTCATTTACTTCACCCCAGAAATAGCAAGAGCAGTCTCAGTCTCTTAGGACAGTTGGTCTGCAGTCACACAAAGACATTTCATGTTTGGACAGACTGAGACCGGACCCTCTGAATCCCCACTGCCGTCCACACTGTGTGATAAATACTGATGCCTGTGTGTGTGTGTGTGTGTGTGTGTGTGTGTGTCACAGAGGAAGGAGAGGTGTTCATCTGGGACGTGCAGAGCAGTAAGTGTCTGAAGAAGTTTCCAGATGACGGCTGTGTCAGAGGAACTTCTCTTGCTCTGTCCAGGGATGGCCTGTATCTGGCCTGTGGGTGAGTAACGTCAGGACGCCGTTTGTCTGTCACTTACTGAATGCAGAAGCTGATATCAGTGTCCCATCCTGCATTAAACATCAGCATTTATTAAGTCACCAAAACCTGTAGCCTACTCGGGTGAAAGTGCAAATATTTATTGTAGTAATTACTGAAGTTGAGGTAACGGTGTTAATAATGACCTGAGTCACTTTTCTTTGGACTCTTCTTTACTCTTAGTCAAGTAGTCAAGAATTACTAGCGACTGATTCAGAACAAGCAGGATAAAATCTGTGAAGAAATATCTGGTTCTGTTGATGCTTTTTGTCAATCTGTGTGTGGCACAAATGCTGCATAAACTCAATGAAAGCAGCACATAAATATGATTTCAAATACAGAGTGTTTCTGGTCGTTACATATGTTTGTTAGAATATATTATGACAGTTATTACGTCTAATGTGGTCAAAATTCATAATGTGTGTCCTTTGCCTGTGTTGGTCATAGGCTTGAGTTTTATAAAGGTAACATGAATGCTTACTATATATCCTGCACATGCTTTCTGAAATGGAGCTAGAAAAAGCACCCATGAATAATTTTGAGTTGAATTGATGAATCTGAAGTTGTTGTATCATATTTTGTATATTGGTGCTTTTAAACAGCAGATGCACTATTTGTTTTGTTTTTTTATAATTTTTCTTCTAAAGAACAAAACTGTTGTTAAAAAATACTTATTTGCAAAATAACCCGCAAAAACCACTCATTTCAACTGTAGATTGTTAACATCTATGATGAAGAACTGTTGCAACCTGGAGTAATTTTTTGTTCCCGCTAGAGCTTTGGTCCGGATGGTTTTGTGTTAGTTGTTAGGTGTAATGCACAGGTGCGTGTCTGGATCCTGAGGAACGGTGTTGTGCTGCTCGTCTGCAGGTCTCAGAGCGGTGTGGTGAACATCTACTCGCAGCAGGACTGCCTGCAGAAGCTGGAGCCCAGACCTCTGAAGGCCATCATGAACCTGGTGACAGCGGCGAGCTCCCTGTGCTTCAACAGCACCTCAGAGATCCTGTCCATCGGATCCAGAGAAAACGACGAGGCCAACCGACTGGTGCGTCACAGTGCCTTGCATTTGAGGAACTCTAATTCAGCTGTGTGCATATGAAAACTAATCATCATATAAACAATACAAGCGATTTGTTTATAAGGTAATTTGGATTATATATCAACATTTTTAATAATGCTGAAGTTATATACTACTATATGCGATTTTTCTTTATAATATGTGTGGATAATTGTCACATTTTCTAATTAAAACAGGAACAACTGGTGTATGAAAGTTTCTCATCAGCACTGCGTGAATAATAATAAATGACTAAATAAATAGTGTAGACACTGCTCTTATTTTTTTTAGGAACGCTATACAAATTCTGTTCTGTGCCTTTAAAACAGCCTCAATTCTTCAAGTTCATGAATAGGATTATTCAGATTCATAGTATTTCTGATTATTATAAAATTCAAACGAATATACATGCTGTGGTCATTAAAGGTGCAATATGAAATACTCAAGTAAATGTACTTAGTTACTGTCCGCCTCTGCATATTTCCCCCGCTCAGTGAGGGGGGAGCAATGAACACTGTGTAAGGATCATATCAATCAGAACACAGTTCATGCACGTAGCTCACTTCTAACCAGCTGGTTATTTGAATCGGGTGTGTTAGCTAAGCGAGACATTCAAAATATGCAGAGCGGGGGGCACGAGGACTGGATTAATCGCTGGGCTACATCATGTGTCATTCACTGGTGAGAAAACTTTAAAAGTACTACAATAGCAGGAAGGAAGATCGGGTTGATGTTTGCCTGCCATCCTCGCTCTGTCTGCACAGCGTGCGTGAACACGCTGATGACGTGTCCTGTCTGCGCGAACCCGGTGCGCAGAGGTATGCAGATACATAAGTTGACAGGCAGGTAGGAAAGCTAATTAAAATGCTCGGACCGAGCGTTTTGATTGGACGAACATTTCTTGGTCCTACGCCTTCCACAAAATATATCAATACAGATGAATACATTTAGACCACTTAACTTAATGATTGCTATCGGGATGTGAAGAGACTTTCAACCAGCATAACAAAAAATGTTTCTGAAGACAATCACCTATTACACCTTTAATGGGTGCAGATGTTCAGAAACAATACTGTGGCATTCCAGTGATGATTGATGAGTATGAACAGACCTAAAGAAAGCATTGTTCTCACCATTACACCAGCAGCAGTCTGGACTCCTGACATCAGTGCATGGATTCATGCTGTTTGGTCAAATTATGAGCAACGCTCAACATTACTGACATCACATGAACTGAAGCTCCAGACCCATGTCTGTATAATCAAGTATTGCACTGCTGAAGCATGATTGGCAGATCTGATAATTGCACAAGTATCCATACAGCTGCTCCTAATAAATTGCTCAGCAGTGTGTGTGTATATATATATATATATATATATATGTATAAATAGACAAACTTCATATTGTAATGAATTGTAGATGACTGAAAGAGTGCATATTTTCTGTGTTCATAAACTGCAGAATTGGATTTCAGATGCAGTTATTGGTGTAATCTGGCTTGTTTTTAGTTATACACAATAATGTGGTAGTTGGTAATTTGTTGGGATTTTTAGTTGCTGAATCATTTGGATAACTTTTTATTTTTTTCCTTTTAAGGTCCATCTTCCAAGTTTTACGGTGTTCACCAATTTTCCAGAATTCCAAAAGAAGACTATATTTCAAACCCGTTGTCTGGATTTCTCCCCGCGGAGCGGATTCTACTCTGTGGCCAATAATAAAGGCCATGCGCTGCTCTTCAGGTGAGAACAAACAACACCGATATGTTGCTGTCATGCCAATTACATTAGTTTCCTTTTGTTTTTGCTGCATGTGCAATGTTAATTTATGTTTCACAGGTTTAGCATTTAGACACTACTTTTCCAGATTAAGAACATTTAATAAACGTTTATTCTGTGTATTTTAAAATGCGTTTATAGGTCTCTTAAAATGTAATATAATTAGGTTCATACATTTTAGGAAAGAAAAAGACAAACTATTTTAGATTGTCCAGTGCACTAAATGTAACTGGAAAGGAAAAGCATACCCTACATGAACACACAGGTGCAGAACAAGCTGTTTTCGGCATCCTCAGGTGAGCAGCGATGGGAAGTCTGCTTTAGAAATCCATTGCTATGTCAGTTCACATCGGGCATTAACCACTGCTCTCCCGGATACCAGACACTGTTCAGATTCTTGAATGAATGACTTTAAATGAATAGATCTCGAAAACAAGTGAATTGTTACACCTTTTTTACACTGATGATTTTGCTATGCTAGTGTTATCCAGGTGTTGTATAAGCATGTGTATTGTTGTTTGTCTCTAGGCTTCTGCATTACACTGACTTCTAGAGATGAAGCACCTCGTTCCACAAAGAAAACTGCTCAGACTGAATACATGTTGTACCTCTGTCAGCTCCTCGGAGTTCAGCTCAATAAACCTTTGCCACATGACTGTGAGAACCATTATGCTGTTGTACAAGTGTGCATTATTTACAGTTTGCTCATCCTAATACAGTCTGTCTTTGACGCTTGTCCTTGTCTTCAGACCTGCAGTACAGCTCTTAAAATGACTGTTTGATTTTTATTCAGTTTAATGGAACAAAACTTCACATATATTCTTCCAGAGCAGCTTTACCAAGAGCGGCCATATAAATGCTGCAGTTAGCAACAGTGGCGAGAAGAGCTCACAATGTTAAAGGATAAACATTCGGAAGTATAGATGCGTCTGAAACCGAAAACCTTATTGGGAAAGGCATGGAAAATGACCTTAAAAAGAATAAAGAATTCTACCGAATAATATAAGACCCATTCAGCAGACACAGTCTGGTTTGCTGATAACAGGTGAACTAGAGGATAGCAGGACGTTATGCAATCACCTGTAAAACTGCAACACAATAATGAGTGTGTTAAGTGAATAACTCTACGAGGGAAATGAGTGGCATAACAGTCTCAGAAATCAGAGCTTGCCAATAGAAAGCTTACTGAATCCATTCACATTTTCTGTTATTTGATATATACAGTGCATCCGGAAAGTATGCACAGCACTTCACTTTTTCCACATTTTATATTACAGCCTTATTCCAAAAGTGGTTAAATTAATTATTTTCCTCAAAATTCTACAAACAATACCCCATAATGACAACGTGAAAGAAGTTTGTTTGAAATCTTTGAAAATGTATTAAAAATAAAAAATTCACATGTACATAAGTATTCATGGCCTTTGCTCAATACTTTGTTGAAGCACCTTTGGCACCAATTACAGCCTCATATCTTTTTGGGTATGATGCGACAATCTTTGATCATCATCATTTGGCAATCATCTGCCATTCTTCTCTTCACCTCTCAAGCTCTGTCTGGTTGGATGGGAGCAGACGCACATTTTCAGGTTGCTCCGGAAATATTTGATTGGGTTCAAGCCCAGGCTGTGGCCACTCTTGCTGTGTGCAGTCTAATAAAAAGTTTAATACAGACTGGAAGATTGGATGAGTATAAGACATGGTCATGGTCAGTGTATACTGAGCAAGTGGAGTTGTACATCATGGCCAATGACGTGGACGATACAAAACAAGTGACAACTTTTCTTAGTGAGACGGGAGCAGCAACATATGGATTGTTGCAGAATTTGGTAAGCCTAAAGATGAAACGTTTGAACAGATTTGAAATATTCTGCGCAACCTTTGGTAATTTCCAACTGTTTTCGATTTGGGTCGGCCTACACTGTATGAGTTTCTGTCTTATGTTAAACATAAAAGAAGGTATTTTGAAGAATGCTGGTAATCAAACAGTTGTTGGTTCCCATTGGCTTCCATAGTATTTCTTTCCCTACTATGGAAGTCAATGGGAACCAACAACTGGTTCTTCAAAATATCTTCTTTTATGTTCAACGTAAGAAAGAAACTCATAACCTTCATTACTTGTGCACTAAATTATCTCTCAGTGGATCTGATGTATGTATGTTATGTCCATACCCTGCAGGTTTACATTGACAGGACCAGCTCTTTCAGGAAGAATGACTAGCTCTTCATTTCTTGGGCTCCTACTACTTTGTGATGTGTCAAGCACCTTTCCAGGTGACAAAACACCAGGTGCCAGGTTTCCAGGTGCACAAAACACAAGATAGTTCTCTTTAAAAACAAACAAGACTTTATTAATAAAAAACTAAGACGTGAACTAATCTAACACAAACTCACACATTCACACACGTTGCAGAAAGAACATGGAACATGGAGTGTGAACATGGAATATGAAATCATAAGTTTCTAGCAATATATGCAATTTCTTAGACCTGAATGAACCATCAATCATTTAATTTAACCCTTAAATTTAGTTTTAAATAAGGCTATTAAACTTTATATAAAATGCACCAGTTCAGCTAGAGTCTGGAGGGTCTAGAGATATTACATGTGTTGGAGATTACTTTTGGTGGCATCATCAGCTGAAAAGGGGTTTCCCAGGTTTGTTGTCTTCGGAAACCAATCATGATGGGCTTTGGCTGAAGGATGGTTGTGGATTCTTGTCGGCTGGTTGAAGGTTGAGGGAGGCAAAGACAAAGTCATGACATGACTATTCTGCAAAACTTAACTTAGAAAAGCCTCTCAACGGAAAAGAAAAGAAAGAAGAGTTATGCAATGGAATGATGTTTATCATCTTGGCATCATTTTGGGATGATCTGATGCATTTTTGATATATAAAGGCAGTTGATGTGCTATTCAGTGTGGTGTGGAATTTGGTTTCTGTGAGAAACAAGTCAAATGGTCTCAGAGGGAGTCTCAGTCCGGGCACTGTGTACTAGGAAAGGAATCAAACCCCCCTTATAGTGTTAACTCATGATTTCACTTGTGATAGTCATGATGTGTTATCTTTTCGACCTTAACGACATTAATCTTGTTTAAAGTTAACAATGTTGGAGGGGCTTTCCTAGTTCAGAGCATCTCATACTAAAGCTGTGGAAGAGTTAGTTAGTTATTTAATTAGTTTGTTAGACTTGCTTCAAAATTGCTGGTGGCAGGATATCTGATTTATGGTCATCCATGTTGCCTTTGGGGCCTCATGTGGATGGTCAGTTCCAGTTCTGATTATGTGTGGGGATTACAAGGTAACGACCAATCAAGCCGCTAATACTGAAACATACTCTTTGCCATGTACTGAGTGCTAGCCACTCTTATTGGAGTAAGGCTATGTTCAATCTTGATCGATCTCACCTCAGCCAATCAACAGGTCTTATTGGATGAATATTCAAAGAAATTTATAACTATCAACATGTGTAAGGGCTTATATGTGTACAAATGTTTAGCTTTTGTAATTAGTTCAGCCCCATCCATTTCCAGCAGATCATGGAAAATTTAATGAGTGATCTGAAGGCGATTGTATATTTGGATGATCTGCTTATCATGGGCAGAGATGAGCAGGGACATCTGGCAAATATTTCCAAGGTTTTGCAGCACCTCCAAGAAAGTGGGGTAAGAGTGAATAAGTCAAAGTGTGAGTAGGGGCAAACAGGAATTGAGTACCTGAGTCATGTGATAGACGGAAAGGGAGTGTATCCCACGAAGGACAAAGTTAGAACCATTCAAGGAGCTTGGAGCTTTCCTTGTCTTAGATAACTATTATGGCCGCTATTATACCTCACCAAATCACTGTGTTTGCCCCATTCTACAGATTGGAAAAGTGCATGCTTTAGCACATATGCCTTTGTCTGAGATGATTTGAAGGTGTATTTTATGAAGAGAGATGAATCAGAGCAAGAATGTGTGCTATGGGGCACAAGAGTGATTGTTCCATTCAAGTTGGTCATCTTGGTATTGTTAAAATGAAAGCCTTAGCTCACAAATATGTGAGGTGGCCAAAGATTGACTTGGATGCGAGTGTCTGAAGAGGTTGTGTATAAATATTTTCAGGGCCATTTCTTAATAATTTATGATATTTTGATGGATGCCCATTCAAAATAGCTAGAAGTCTTTTGTATGTCGCAAATTACTACTCAAGCAACAATTACCAGGTTGAAGACATTCAGCAACAAATTGATTGGCCGAAAGGTATGTCCAGATGTTTAAAATCGGCATGAAATCTGGTTAATGAAATATGTCTTTTGATGATACAATTTATTTTTCTCTTTTCTGCTGCACTATCGTATAACACCTAACAGCACCACAGGCCAGTCACCAGCTGAAGAGGCATATTCATACCAGACTGGACTTCCTTAAACCTACTAATCAAGAGACTGTTCGCAGGAGGCAGTATCTGCAAAAATACCTGCATGATCACTAAGCAACAGGGAGATCATCAAAGTGGATGAGCCAGTGTTCCTGCGTAGGACTAGAAGAGGAGGTCCAAAGTGGCTGCCAGTAGTAGTAATGCAACAGACAGGCCTGAGATCATATGAGGTAAAGGACTAAGCATAATACACTGTGTTCAGACAGCGTAGTGAGCAATTAAAATCACAGTACTTCTCTTTAGATGCTCCAGGTGATCAAGGAAGTCATAGACCTGCCTTTTCAGAAACTGCCTCTTCAGATATTCCACAGTAGCAGTATGAAAAAGGGACAATTCTGATTGCTGAGACTAGTGATGAAGATCTGATGCCGGCTGATTTACAAATGTATACATTATGTGAGCCTGTGGTGCCACTTGAGACCCGTGCCGCACGTCCAGTGGACTTGAGATGCCCAAAACGGACCATTAAATTACCACAGCATTTTAAAAACTGACACACTTATAGATGATTTGTTCTAATATTGATGTGATGTGGTGTTTAATCTAAATGGGGGAGGTAATGTGATGTATGGGGAAAATGTGGTGTTATTGATGAACCTCTACATTGTATTTGGTACCTCTGGGCTTCTGTATATAGGTGGCCTTATTTAAAGGGATAGTTCACCCAAAAATGAAAATTCTGTCATTAATTACTCACTCACCCTCATGTCGTTCGTTTGGAACCGTAAGACCTTCGTTTATCTTCGGTACCCGAATTAAGATATTTTTGATGGAATCTGATCAGTATTGTTTACGTTCAGTAGACAGCGAGTGCATGCTGAACGTTAACAACGCTCATTACATTGATTACGTTCTAGGGTACTCTCCAAAATGGCGGAAGACAGTAACTCGGGGTGAAGAATTGCTGAATAAATTGTTATCATTGTTGTCTTTGCGCACAAAAAGTATTCTCATAGCTTCGTAAAATTACGGTTGAACCCCTGATGTCACATGGACTATTTTACCAATGTCCTTCCTACGTTTCTGTGCGTTGATCGTGGTAATATCCGTGCTGTCTATGGTGGGTCAGAGAGCTCTCAGATTCCATCAAAAACATCTTAATTTGTGTTACGGGTTTGGTACGACATGAGGGTGAGTAATTAATGACAGAATTTTCATTTTGGGGGAACTATCCCTTTAAGCAATTGTAGCAGGTGAGATGGAGTCAGGTGTGCTGTCCATTTGACAATGTTCAAGTAAAGTGT